GTACGATCTCTGTTTTGGTTACCTCCATAAAGCTGCATAGTCTGGCCGACGAGTTTGCAAAACCAAAAGGGAAACGTTGAAGCCACGTCGGTCAACTTCCCAGAGCTTGAACTACGACTCCCATCCACAGAAAGAACACCAAAAATCCGCGCGGGTCAACTGGCGAGCCCGCTGCACTGCCAGGACGAAGCCCACGTTATGGGGCTGTCGGGCGACCCCATTTCCAGGCCCGCAAAACACAAGCAATTCTGGCTTCGCCAGGTCGGCCCTCCACAGTTGCATTCCGCTGGCTGCAGCAGCAGCAGCAGCAACAAGGGCAAGCACACAGCTGCTTTGGACAAGCCCCGACCTTCCAAACGGTCCTCCACCAGACGTTCCCCAAACTTACCTCATGACATGCGCAGCCGACGAGATTCAGCCGCTGTGGGTGCAGGGATCAAACTTGCGACCCCAAAAATGGGGCCGTCTCGCGGCCCCAGAAAAGGAGCCGCGAAATGCAGCCAACCTCCTCTAATATATTTGACTGGGAACTATAGAGGACCCAAAATTGGGGCCGCGTGGCGGCCCCCATTTTGGGGTCGCGAATTCCTTCATTCTGGGGCCCAAGCCCAAGCCCAAGCCCCTGCATTCCAGACTGCTACACACCGAGGCGACCCGCTCACGGCAGGCATCCAGTGTGAAAAAGACTCTCCAAGAACCAGAAATTTCCACAGACACGTGCTTGTGGAAGTGATTAACATGAGAGAAGCGCGCACAGAGGGGGGCCACTCAAGCGAAGCTAAAATTGCTCAGACTATTCGACCCCACATTTGGAGCCGCCTGCGCTGACCACTTTCACAAAGGCCTTCGAGGCTTCACTTGCGGGCGCTTGAGGCCTGCTGAGGCCATAGAGGTGGATTTTTGACAGCAACATGCACCTCGAGTCTGCAAGTTCCAAAAGAGACAAGCAACCATGAAGCAATCCCAGACTCCGATTACATGATGGAACTGACTTAAAGAGCAACAGATTTGACGGAGATGAAGATGCAACCCCGTTTTGCAATGGGGGGGTCCCGCAGTTAAGTGCATTTCTCAAAATCCGTAGCATCCGCCGACCTTCTCGATACAGAGGGGGAACCACCATGTGTCCCCAGAAACTACGCATTGGGAGGGTAGCTGGAACAAGACCAGATTTTAAGCCACTGACCTCCGAACGGACAAGAACCTGACCATCAGAAACGGTTGTACTGCTGTGACACCGGCACGCCGACAAGGCCACCGCGGCACATCCCCCTCCCCCAAATCTCAATGTTTGGAGCAGCACGGCCACAAAGCCCTGCGCAAGCAGACGACACGCACCTCCGAGCAGACGACATCATTGAAATGGAGGGGGGGGGGGGTCCGTACATGCAACACAACAGTCTATGACGTCGCGTCTGTGAACCCTGCCAACCCCTACCGTCTGGAGGAAGCTCTCGCATCCCCAGCAAGCCTACTGTCCGACTGGAAACATGCGGAGTTGGAAACTCATCTTGTCACTCACACGGAGCAGAAGAGGCTGCGAGCATCGCGACGTCATGGCCTAACAGATTCCTCTGGCAGAAAGTGTCCGGAACCTCGTTTTTCCATATGGCCTAATGGATTCCCTCTGGCAGAAAGTGTCCGGAACCTCGTTTTTCCATATGGCCTAATGGATTCCCTCTGGCAGAAAGTGTCCGGAACCTCGTTTTTCCATATGGCCCAATGGGTTCCTGTGGCAGAAAGTGTCCGGAACCTCGTTTTTTCATATGGCCTAATGGATTCCTTATGACCTATCCTATGGCCTAACCTATGGCCTAATACACCTTCCCTATGACCTAATCATTTCCGTGTGGGAAAAGAAAAGATTGTATTCCTAAAACGCGAAAATGATTAGGTCATAGGGAAGGTGTATTAGGCCATAGGTTAGGCCATAGGATAGGTCATAAGGAATCCATTAGGCCATATAAAAAAACGAGGTTCCGGGCACTTTCTGCCACAGGAATCAATTAGGCCATATGGAAAAACGAGGTTCCTGACACTTTCTGCCAGAGGGAATCCATTAGGCCATATGGAAAAACGAAGTTCCGGACACTTTCTGCCATAGGGAATCCATTAGGCCATATGGAAAAACAAGGTTCGGGACACTTTCTGCCGGAGGGAACCCATTAGGCCATATGGAAAAACGAGGTTCCTGATTTTTTCTGCCACAGGGAATCGATTAGGCCATATAAGGAACAACGAGGTTCCGGACACTTTCTGCCAGAGAGAATCCATTAGGCCAGAAAGTTCCGGACAGGTCCTGCTACGCAGAGGACATCCAGTAGGCAGATAGAGAAACGACACTCCAGGCTCCTTCGGCCTGGGAACCCATAGGCCATCAGCAAACCCAAGCAGGCAGCCTTTAAAGGCGTTTTGAAAGACAGAAAGAAGATGAATATGGCTGGTGGCCTCCTTTTTGGCAGCATTCAAAGCTTTTCGTTCCTGCTTATGAGTCGCTCCACGCGATCCACCAAGGAGTTCTCCATATGATCAGAGGAGGGCGAAAGCACAACAACGTCGAGCCACGAACAGAAAGAAGATGAACATGGCCCATCCGCAAGGACACAATGCTAGAACTCCAGAAGACTACTGTGGCGATGGTTTGGAAACCTAGACCAGGCTCCAGCAGACTTTGCGAAGACACATCACAGTTCCTGTGCAGTACAGAGAGTCTGCATGGCTTGATCTGCTGTATTCAGAAACGCTGGAGTCACCTCTGGAAAAATTTCCCTGTCTTTGTACGATCTCTGTTTTGGTTACCTCCATAAAGCTGCATAGTCTGGCCGACGAGTTTGCAAAACCAAAAGGGAAACGTTGAAGCCACGTCGGTCAACTTCCCAGAGCTTGAACTACGACTCCCATCCACAGAAAGAACACCAAAAATCCGCGCGGGTCAACTGGCGAGCCCGCTGCACTGCCAGGACGAAGCCCACGTTATGGGGCTGTCGGGCGACCCCATTTCCAGGCCCGCAAAACACAAGCAATTCTGGCTTCGCCAGGTCGGCCCTCCACAGTTGCATTCCGCTGGCTGCAGCAGCAGCAGCAGCAACAAGGGCAAGCACACAGCTGCTTTGGACAGCCCCGACCTTCCAAACGCCCCAAACTTGCCTCATGACATGCGCAGCCGACGAGATTTCCGCTGTGGGTGCAGGGATCAAACTTGCGACAAAAATGCGGCCGTCTCGCGGCCCCAGAAAAGAGCCGCGAAATGCAGCCAACCTCCTCTAATGCATTTGACGGGAACTAGAGGACCCAAAAATTGGGGCCGCGTGGCGGCTCCCATTTGGAGTCGCGAATTCCTTCATTCTGGGGCCCAAGCTCAAGCCCAAGCCCCTGCATTCCAGACTGCTACACACCGAGGCGACCCGCTCACGGCAGGCATCCAGTGTGAAAAAGACTCTCCAAGAACCAGAAATTTCCACAGACACGTGCTTGTGGAAGTGATTAACATGAGAGAAGCGAGCACAGAGGGAGGCCACTCAAGCGAAGCTAAAATTGCTCAGACTATTCGACCCCACATTTGGAGCCGCCTGCGCTGACCACTTTCACAAAGGCCTTCGAGGCTTCACTTGCGGGCGCTTGAGGCCTGCTGAGGCCATAGAGGTGGAGTTTTGACAGCAACATGCACCTCGAGTCTGCAAGTTCCAAAAGAGACAAGCAACCATGAAGCAATCCCAGACTCCGATTACATGATGGAACTGACTTAAAGAGCAACAGATTTGACGGAGATGAAGATGCAACCCCGTTTTGCAATGAGGGGGTCCCGCAGTTAAGTGCATTTCTCAAAATCCGTAGCATCCGCCGACCTTCTCGATACAGAGGGGGAACCACCATATATCCCCAGAAACTACGCATTGGGAGGGTAGCTGGGACAAGACCAGATTTTAAGCCACTGACCTCCGAACGGACAAGAACCTGACCATCAGAAACGGTTGTACTGCTGTGACACCGGCACGCCGGACGACATCATTGAACTGGAGGGGGAGTCCGTACATGCAACACAACAGTCTATGACGTCGCGTCTGTGAAATCAAGGTTGTGAGGACACTGTTTGGCAATGTGAAGAAAAGCAAGCAGCTTGCATCCCAGGTCCAGGACCGGGTCATGCAGGAGAAGATGATGAGCCACTCCGTCGCCGAGTTTGTGGAGGAAAGCTACCTGAAGGACCTCCACTGTCTTTACAGTGGTGTCGTGGCTTGCATCCACGAATCGGAGTTCAAGATGGCAGTTGAGCAGCTCAGCGGTCATACTTTCGATTACGAGCTACCGGACTTCTCCTGGAAGAAAACCACAAGCCAAGACCCTGAGGTGGGGCTTGCTGTAGGGCTTTTGTTTGCAACGACAGAGGAAAGAGAGAGATAGAGTCTGGTTAGTGAATGGTTAGTGAGATCAGGAGCCGGATGCCATCCTGACAAGGGCAGCCGACCATTGGTACGCTCAAAAGGTCCTTGGTCAACAACAGCTACAGAGTGCTCAACCAGGTGCTGCGGCTGCGAAGGTAGAGTCTGAGAGAGAGAGATGGTTGGTTCATTCAGGGTGGGTCACTGGGCTCAGGGTTCCGGCCTGAGGCTCATATTGAACATATTGCTAGCTGCTAGCTGTTAACTGCTAACAGTGCTATTCTGCTATTCTAGATTCTAGATTGTAGCTGCACCTGACGGGTTCAGACTTTGGGACGTGTGTTTCTGATTATGTATTCAATACTCCTGTTGACCTAGGACCGAGGACTTAAGACCTAAGGCTGCAAACCGGAATGATTGTGTATCTGAGTATATTTGGTATCGCCACATCGCAAATTCAATATGTTGGATTGCTACATTGCCATGATGTCTGATGTAGGAGAAGTCTTAGTTTCGTAGCTTCGTGATAGTCTAGTTAAGTTTAGTTAGTTAGTTCGATTGGGAGTTTTGTTTCCATGGTTCCATGCCACCACGTTTTGTTGACTTGAGGTGCTGGTGAAGATGGACACCCTGAAGCAGAAGTTGGCGCCCATCTTCGACGACAAGATCATGTCGCCCGAGCGCTATGATGCAATGCTGGGCATGATCAAGAAGGGTCGTTCCCGTGAGCTGGCCGTAACAGCACTGATGGCAGAGGCATGCTTCCAGCATGCTTTCATGAAGAATGATCTTGACGTGATCAGGGCCCAGCTGAAGAAGGTTGAAGAGGGTGTGGTCAAAACTTTGGTGTGCCCGGTTTTCCTGTCGAAAGCTCGTGCTATGGTCAACCCATCGGCTGAGCAGAAGGAGCCTGAGGCGAAGAAGCCCAGGCTTCGGGCTTAGGGCCGAGGCCTAAGGCCTAAGGCCTAAGGCCGGCGTGCTGTTCGTGCTGCTGGTGGTTGCTTGAGGCTTAGGGCTAAGGGCCTCAGGCTTAAGGCTTACGCTTTTATCGGTTCAGGTATCAGGTGTCAGCCTTATCGGAATCTGGGGTTATTTATCGGTTATCCCGTACTCTAAATTCTAACTCCAACACTCGTGTAGTGAAGGGTAGTGAGTGGCGTAGTGTAGATTGTCGGATGCTGTTATTCTCGGAGATAGATTCTATCTGGATTCTAGATACTAGTAACTAGTAAACCCTGAATTTAAACCCCTGAACCCTAAACCGCTCGGACTTGGTGGCAGGTAGCACATGGCAGGTAGCTTCGCGTTTGGGGCCCCATCTAGCACTAGCAGTCAGTAGCTCAGTAGCAGCTCAAGGCCTAGCATCCACGGGTAGCCGGGTAGCCAAAGCCGCCTGACGTTTTCCAAGCACCAAAACTGGTGTTTTTTTGCTGCTGGCTGTGTTTGCTGCTGAAACATCTCCGGGCTCACACTGTTGCTAGCTGCTAGCTGCCAGGTCTGCTAGGTCCTAGGTGCTAGCTAGCTGCTGCCCCGTGTGCCATGTTAGTCAATCAAGGTAGTTTGGAGTGTAGAATGCTTCGCGGCAGCCTCTCGAGATGGTAGGTAGTGATCATGGCTCGCCTAGCACTTCTGCCGGGGCAAGGTCGTAAAGGCCTCTTGAGTCTTGAGCAAACTGCTGTGATTCAGCATCGCATGGCGCAAAAAAGAATTTCTTTGGAATCTGCGAGCTGCACTGCAAACTCATTGTCATTTGCTTCTATGGCCTATGGGCCTATGGTGGAGTCGCAGAGAGTTTCATGGTCGTTTTGGCATCGTGAGCATGCAGCAGTCTTGAGTACTGAGGCCCGTTGCGCAGGATTACAGCCCATGATTCGTGTGCAGTCAGTGCAGGGTCATGACAAGTTTTCTGGTCAACTGCAAACACAGCTGCTAAGTCACGCAAATTTGTTGTAACGATGCCTTGCAGGTGCAGATCCCTAGACTCTAGATTCTAAACTTTAAACGATCTGATGTTTGGCATGCCCTTGTGCATTGCTGCTGCTAGCTGCTAGCTGCTAAGTGCTATGAGTGCTGCTGATGCCTCCGGCGCTTCTGGCGGGCTTGCTGTGTGGTGGCTGCTGACTCCACCGCTGACAACGGGCTTGCTCGGTGCCTTCGCTTTGCAACTGCAAGGGTGCTCCGAATCTGGTATGGTGTCGGGGAAGGCATCGAATACTTGACTGTGCAGAGTGTCATGCTGTCGGTCCTGGTGTCAGAACCTTACTCGAAAGCCTTTGCAGCTTTGTTCCTGGTCCTGGTGGTTGTGTTGATTCTGGGCATTGTCATGGCTTTTTGCTGGTACGTGGGCCGGGTGAAGTGGAAGGTGAAGGTTTCAGTGGCACACTCCGGGGTCCCGGACCTGTCACCTACGGCCACGGCTACGGTACCTACAGGACCTACAGTGGCTGCAGCTACAGCTACAGGAACAACCAGTAGCAGCAGTAGTACCAGTGCCGCGGCAGCTACCAGGAACATGACATCACCGTCGGTTTCATCATCAGCGACGTCATCCGAAAGTTTCGAGGGTCCCACCGTTGGACGGCATGATTCCAGAGAGTCTGGGGCGCTGGGGCCCCGATGTGCTAAGACTGCGAAGAAGATCTACGTCTATGCGCCAACACGAGGGTCTGCTTATCACCTGCCCGGTTGCAACATCGTTCTTTCCTCCTCCAAGTACCTGAAGGCTTGCTCTGAGGAAGAGGCAATCGAATTGTCGTTGCAGCCCTGTAGCCGTTGCATCAGCAGGACCAAGAAAGTGACTCCATTGAAGTGAGTCGGTGAGGCTGAAAGTAGTCGGTTGCAGAGGTTAGGACGGTTAGGATTTACGGTTTTAGGTTTAAGGGTTAGGTTTAAGGTTTGGGGTTCGGTTGAATTACGTAGGACATGTGTGAGCCAAGCACTGGCTTGCTTCGGGCTTGTGGGCTTACAGCTTGGAGCTCAGGACTTGGGTTTAAAGTTAAACTAGGCCCTTAAGCTGTTGACTTAGACATAGACTTCGGGGCTTGAACACTTCGGTGACGGCTCTGATTACGACTAGTGACCAGACGAGAGTCTAGAGGCTAGCAGTCTAGCAATGAAGTCCCCAGGCGAAAAGCTCCGTCTCAAAGTTCCTCTCTAGGTTCCAAAGTCTTGCTCAGTTTTGGCGCAGCTCGTGCGTGCGCATCGAGAGTTGGAAAAAGCGCCGGGAAGGGCGATTGCATTCCTCTTTACAGTTGCAGTGTGTGGTGATGCTCGGAAGGCGACGCCCTGTGATTGGAAGTTGACTTGACAACTGCTACCTTGACCGTATGCTTGCATGTCGAGTCATCATGGTCAGAAACGTTTTCGTTTGACTAAACCTCTCGCTTCCGCAATATGTGAAAGAGAGAGAGAGAGAGAGAGAGAGAGAGAGAGAGAGAGAGAGAGAGAGAGAGAGAGAGAGAGAGAGAGAGAGAGAGAGAGAGAGAGAGAGAGCTTTGTCCGGCATGGATGAGGGGCAACATGGGCCCAGGCCTGTATGATGGCATGTGTGTGTGTGTGTGCACAAACAGTCCACTCCAACTCACATAGTCATGGGGCACTGAGGCTTGCTTTGCTGTGATTTTGTTCACCCACCCGCTCGGCTTTGGCCCTCCTGAGCCATGTGTGCATCCAGAGTGTGGGGGTTCCGAGTGTGTGCGTGTAGAATACAAATACAGTGAAAGTCAAGTATGTTCGAAAAGTCACATTTGGCTGCAGCTTTCGTGAAACCTGAAACAGCCATCTGGAATCTGGATGCCGGTGCGCTTAAATATGTGTATGGTAGTATGGCAGTACGACATGTTGTAATTAAGAGCAATGGCAAATCACGACCTAGAGGGGATTTTGATGGATTGTGGATTGTAGATTCTAGCCGTCTAGCCTCAAATTCTGCATAGTAGGATAACAGGAGCAATTCTGTTAAACATTCTGCCAGGAACAGTAACACAGCTAGTGCAGTACAGTTAATGTACAGGAACAGCCGTCACGCACACGCGACGTGCAGGCTCGAGACCCCAGGACACACCGTGCCCAGGAACAAAAGTGTCCGACAGTCTTTGTGGGTAGGAACCCTTAGTGAAGCCCGTTCTTTAACATGGTAGCGGAGCTGCCTCCAGGAACCTCCCTGGCAGCGATGATGCTACTCGTAGCCATAGGAACCATGATGCTCGGCGCCATGGCAGTTTGCCTCGTTGCCGGATGGAAGCAGATGCGCGCAAATGAGCAGATCACCAAGAAGACGGAGACAGTGCTCAACATGCCCACGCTCAGGATCGCAGTTCGTTCAGGAACAAAGTACCACCGCAGAGGTTGTGGACACCTTCGCAACCACAACGTGACAGCAGGAAACGCGCGAGACTTTGACGCTTGCGCCGATTGCTACCCCGACCGAGTGTTGGTGGAAGAGAGAGAGAAAAGGAACATGAAGTGCTACGGTTTGGCAGCATGTATGGTGCGGCTGGTTGGTTTCGCACTGGGAAGCCTCGCAACTTTGTGCGGGATGATCTTGGTCCCAGGAGCAGGAAGTATGGCGGTGAGACCGTGGCAGGCCCTTGGCAACAACGTGGAGACCAAGGAAGAACTTGCCCTTGGAGACGCCTTACCCTCCAAGGATGCGAGCCGTGGGAGAAAGGAACTCACTTATGTGGAGAGCGACGAGAGCGAGCTCATGGCAGTGTGGTCGAGCAGAAGGAAGCCCAATACGCACCGGAACCGCTACAGGAACTACGACGTGTACGGCGAGTACTACCAGCAAGGCTACAACGAGTGCAGCGTGAACCCCGACGGCACCAACGTGAACACGATCAGGAACAAGAACGCGTACACGATCAAGGACTACGTGGAGATAGGAAAAGTCATGTTACCGTACGCTTTGTTGTGCGCGAACCACGTGCTGAACGAGCTCTACAGCGTCGTTAGCGTGACCGGCGAGTACTACACGGAAGAGAACAGGAACGGCGACCAGAACACCGAGAACCAGGAGAGTGAGAGCCTTGAGTCAGGCTACGCCCCTAGGTACCTAGTAAAACAACAGCGAGAAGTACTGAGGAAATTTGTACAGGAACATGTTCATAGTTTCGTAGAAAAGCTAGCAACTGTAGGAAAGAAGTTTCATGACGTCGTGCATGTGATAGTTCAGGAAGTCATTTCCAACAGAGTTGTATTTCAAGGAATTCGCATAGCAGTGTTCTTAGGAACCCCAATGGGACTGATTACTTGGATCACCCTGTCGTACTATTCTAGTGTGTTTTTCGCAAGAGCAAGCAACCGCTCAAAGCACCAAAGGAAGACAAGAGGAGAAAGGAGAGCACAAGCAGTGTGCAGGAAGCAGTGCAAGTCGCTACTTTTAGCAGCACTAGTGTACAGCAACCTTGAAACAGCAAAAGGAATGGAGGATGCATTGAAGGCACTTGCCGAGATCAATGCACAGACCTTACAAGGAATACAAACACTAGCAGAGGAGATCAGGAACTCAGCAGCTTCAGGAAGTCAAAGAGAAGCAGGACTTACACAAGCATTCCAGGAAACCCTGACAGCAGTTCAGGAACAGCAGAAGACAGCGCAAACAGCGTTGGCAGACGCCCACACGAACGCAGCAACGACACTTGAGGAGATAGGAGCATCTCTGGAGAAAGCAGTAAAGGAACAAAGAAAGCCTGGAGAAGTGGAGTTGCACAAGCTGATTAAAAGCCCCGAAGCATTTTCCCCAGGAACATGGCAAGAAGAGAAGAGTGGATGGACAGAGTTCAGGAACAGGATGCGGATCTGGCTTGGAGCAGTGGATTCCAACATGGTAAAGATCATGGACATCGCCGAAAGGAACTTAAAAGATGATAAGCAAGTGAAGATGGCTGAGATGTCTGCAGAAGCAAAGGAAACAAGCAGACGCCTGTACAGTGTTCTTTGTTCATACACTAAAGGAAGGCCGTACCGAGTTGTAAAGCATGTAGCTGAGGAGAACGGTATGGAAGCTTACCGTATGCTACTCAAGGAATATCAACCAACGAATCGTGCAAGATCGTTGGAGTTGTTTCACAACATTCTCAACTACAAATTCGCTCACAACAAAGGAATTGCTGAGAATATCCTCGAATATGAGGAACACATCGAGAAGTACGAGAAGGCTACTGGAGAAAAGGTACAGGAGAATTTGAAAGTATCTACTCTTATTCAAGGTATGAAACCTGACGTGAAAAGGCACTTGTTGCTCAACATGGATGAGAAGACACAGTACAATACTCTTCGTCAGTACCTTGTGAACTATGAGTCAACTGAGCGTTGGACTAACTCTTTGTCAGCCCAGCAAGGAACACCTCACCGAACCACAACAGACTTGATTGACAAAGGTGATGACCATGGTGGTCTTGCAGCAATGGATATCAACCAAGCATGGTACAAAGGAAAGAAAGGCTATGGCAAAGGTTATGTTCATCATAAAGGCAAAGGTAAAGGAAAAGGCAAGAAAGGTGGAAAGGACTTTGGAAAAGGTTACGGCTTTGACAGCAAAGGCAAAGGTAAAGGTAAAGGTTTCGGAGGTTTTGGCAAAGGCAGAGGTCGAGGCAACTGGAAAGGCCGAGGTAGAGGTTTCAGAGGTTACAAAGAAAAGGCAAAGGTCGAGGAAGAGGTTTCTTCAGACACAAAGGAAAAGGTAAAGGCAAAGCCCAAGCAGCTACAGGAGTGTGTCACTACTGTCATAAGTATGGACATTTCGAAGCACAGTGCAGACAGAAGATGCGTGACATGGGTTACCAGGCCAGGAACGTTGACCTTGAAAACCAGAGCGAGCAAGCAAGCACTACAGCTACTTCAACTCAGGCCCCTTCGTCAGCCAACAAGACCTCAACAAGCCAAAGCCAAGCAAGCCAAGGAACCCAAAGACCAGTGATTAGGATGGTCTCCATGTACCACATGGGAGACGAGCCCACAAGCTTTCCGGAGGAATTCGCGCTGAGTGAGAACTCTGAAGAGATAGAGATTGAGTACTTCGGAAGAGTTTTGCGGGTTGTTGGTGAAGAAGTTCAGGAAGAGAGGAGTGAGACAGAAGAGTTTTGGATTGGTGATGAAGATGATGAGTTTCAGGACTGTGATGAGGTGAGTGATGATGCATGGTTGCAATGGCATCTAGAAGGAACTCCGATAGGAACTCAGGATCGTGGATACTACTTTGAGTGTCCCAATGGATGTCATGAAACACCGTGGCACCCAAACATGCAGGAATGTGAGAACGGATGTCACCATCCTCCTAGAAGGAACAGAGTAGAGAGAACAGCACCCTCAAGGACCATCACCAGGTTTGCGCGTGCAGCAAGGAACGCGAGAACTCGAGAGATCGAGGTCGTGCTGGATTCAGGAGCCGACATTTCATTGGCACCGATGTGGATGAAGAAATATGGGAGAAAGGCACCCAACACTACCAAGGTAGTTTTGCGAGATGCACAAGGATCTCGGATTAAGGTTTCAGACCAAAGGATCATTGAAGTTGAGTTTCGGGATGTTCAAGGAAACATTGTGAAGGTTGAAGAAGTGTTCTTGATTTCATCGGTTGTACACCCTCTTTTGGCAGTAGGTAAACTGTTGAAGAAAGGCTGGGAGTTCAGAGATGGAACAGCAACAGGCACTTTCCTAACAGAAGGAACAACCAAGATCGCAGTGAACTACAACAACAACTCACTTACAACAAAAGCCTTTGTGAGAGCAGTCAACTGGGAAGCAGAAGCAAAGCCTATCCCTATGTACTTGTGCGAGAACTTAAAGGAACTCATTGAAGAACAGCGT